TACACACCATTCTGTTTAAAGACACACACATATATATGTAATTATTTCAAAAATACAGTTTTAAAGAAATACAACATAAACAATATTTGCTTTCTGTATAATTCATCATAAGTGAAACCATACCACTGAACAATCATATCCTGTTTGGGCCGTAATGACATCAGAAATACATGTTTATCATCTGCTTTGGACAACTTAGCATGTTTTTGGCCCAGGGCAAAGTGGAACCGAAACCATTTGCAGTTGGCCAAACCAAGATAACCACACATTTCTGAAGTAATTGATACCTAAAAGGAACATAGCCTTTAGATCACAGCTCATGATTTAAGTACACTAATTCTTTAAAGGAGGTTGTAAAGATTTTAAAGAGCGCACTGGACTTCCTCCAAAACTTAGCTTGCAGAAACCATAGTGTACTAAACATGGCAAATAAGATATTCTATACTACTTTATATGCTAACTACCATCTTCTTTTCAGGAACAGAACATGTTTCCTGCGTTTTTAAAGCCCGCAGTATTTTTTTAAAAGACCCAGACCAAGTTCTTGTTTTAGAAAAGCGTCCACAATAATAAAAACTCTTATTGACCAACTAACATTTGAGAAAGCAGAATGCAGTTTCCTAGTTGATTTTAGGTTTCCAATACAACAAAGCAAGATCATTCTCCTGAATCTTTCCATGGGGAAAGACCATATGCGAGGCTTTCCCTTGCAGAGGTCCAGCACTGGGGGCTGGGATTAGGAAGGATGCAGCATCCGGACAGAGGCAGAAGTGGACCTGCAATCTGTTTTACATGTTTGCTAGTCTTTCACTTAAGGAATTATCTGGTTTCCAGGCTCCAGTTGGAGCCATGTTCCCTGAAGTCCATGCTGTTCCTCTGCCAGGATAGAACAACAACTTTTATGTGACTCAACAATTGCTTGTCGTGCTTGTCAACTGTATTCAGAAGCTCACTGCCTAGAACACAGCCACCATGGCTGGTCACACTATGGTTATAGCGAACAAGGAAGGGGAGTTGGGAATTCACATTAGAGAGTGGAAAGAGAGAATGGGCAAGTCCACAGATGTTCCTGATTTTGCAACTCTGGTCAATAAACTGTTGGTGTTGAAAGGCCCCCATGAGAAGTACAGTGGTACCTCGGTTTTTGAACAGCTTAGTTCTCAAACTACTTGGAACCAAAACCCAAAGTTTCTGATTTTTTTCTGGAAGCCGAACATGCTCTGTTCTGAGTATGACTTCCGTTTTGAGTGCCACACTTCCGTTTTTCAAGTGAGGGAAGGCAGGCCAGGTGGCAAGCGAGCAGGCACCTGCCACCCTCCAGTGCTGGGTCCCTCCGCCATCGCTGCCACAACAGCAACCATCCTCTCCTCCATCTCTGGCGGCCCCGGCCCTGAGTGAGGAAAGGCTGGGCCCGGGTGGCAGCAACATCCCTTGCCTGCCCAGCCCAGCCCAGCCTTTCCTCACTCAGCCTGGCTGCCTTCAGGTGGTGCAGGGGCTTTGATGGCGAGGTGGGGGCTCCTTTAAGCTTCTCCCTTGAGGGAAGTGCAGCCGCGAACCCCTCAACAGAAAGTGTGATGGAGCCTGCACCTCCCCAGCTGAGCAGCCCCGATGCAGCTCCTGTTCCCGTGCAAGCAGCAACAGGTTGAGGCTCTCTAAACTGGAAAGTGGGAGCTTTGCGCTGCCTAGCGGAGCAGCCCGATCCCACTCCTACTTGCCTGCAAGCAGGAGCAGGCAGGGGGGTGGGGTGGGGGGTGGGGCCACCCCTTGCCTGCTCACTCGCAGCCCCGGCCCAGCCTTCCCTCACTTAGCACCAGGGCCGCAGGGCTGCATTCACAAATAAAACTGAAACTTTCCAGAAAACCACAAAGCCAACAAACTCGCAACTCGTGAAAAAGCAGCAACACAACAAATTGAAGAAAGCAAACCAACCGCAAATGAATCAAAACCACAAGAAAACATAAAACAACCCTGACCCTAATTCTAATCCTTACCCTAACCCTAACCCAGTCCTAAAATTAACCCTAACCCAGAAATGGTCTGGTTAGTAAAATTCATGTTAAATTGCTATTTTAGGGGCTGTTTTTAAAAGTCTTAAACGGATTAATCCATTTTGCATTACTTTCTATGGGAAAGTGCGCCTTGGTTTTGGAATGCTTTGGTTTCCAAACAGACTTCCGGAACAGATTAAGTTTGAGAACCAAGGTACCACTGTACATGGGAAGCAGTCTGTACCATAACACTTGGAGGTGTCTTGGAGGTAGCAGCAGCCAGAGTCCGTCAGTGGAGGATGTGAGCAGATCATCTGGCCCTCCTTCATATCTACTGGAATTCCTTCTTCTCTTCAGGTAGCCGGTGTGTTTGCACCTTTGGCCAGCGAAGTGGGGGTCGCCCCTTAAGGGAGGAGCAAGGGCAAGGGCTGATTAATCAACAATAGTGTTTGTGGGAGGGGAGCTATTGGTTTGATTTTGTTTTTTGGGGTATGTATTTTGTGTTCTCATTTTGTATTTTTTTTGTTGTGAACTGCCCTGTGATCTTTGGTCTAAGGGTGGTATACAAATTTAATAAATAACAACAACAACAACAACATTATACTTGAAATGCTGCATGTCAGCATGTCAGAAGTTTCTTGCTGACAGAGAATCAGGAACACCTGAAATTCTTCTACAGGGTCAGGGCCACAATGAAGCCATGTAGACAAGGGAGCGTATTGCTATAAACAAAAACATAGTTTTTATCCTCAAGTAGTTAAAAACCTATTGTCAGGGAACTGCCATCAGCTCAGAGGCGAGAGGTGGAAGGGCAGTTGTGTTACAGGGAGTTCCTCTTCTGGCGAGCAGGAAAGCCCTACCTCCAGTGGGGAGGGGGTGCAGGGACCAGGAGATGCCAGGGAGAGCCTCAACACCGAGCCTGAGCAAAGGGGAGGGAAGGCAAGCGCCCCTTTGCCAGCGCCCACTCTGCGCAGTAGGTTTGGGCGGAAGAGGGGAGGAGAAGCATGGGGGTCACACAACTGTTATGCTGGGGAAGTTACAAGGACCGCCCACTCCCAGATTCTGCTAGCGACTGAGCTAGACATGGACTTGCGGCGCTCTTCACTGTAAATATTTTGAAGAAGAAGAAGAGTTTGGATTTGGTATCCCGCTTTATCACTACCCAAAGGAGTCTCAAAGCGGCTAACATTCTCCTTTCCCTTCCTCCCCCACAACAAACACTCTGTGAGGTGAGTGGGGCTGAGAGACTTCAGAGAAGTGTGACTGGCCCAAGGTCACCCAACAGCTGCAGGTGGAGGAGCGGAGACGCGAACCCGGTTCCCCAGATTACGAGTCCACTGCTCTTAACCACTACACCACACTGGCTCTCATAATAAAGCCTGGAAAAGACAGGCTGGAGTCTTGCCTGTTTGCTCTCGAGCAACCAAACAACCACCTGGCACCTATTAAGTAAATGTTATAGTTGACATAAGAATAGAAGATCAGACTACAGGCAGTCCAGTTTTCTGCTCCCACCACGGCCAAGTAGGAGCTAATGAGTAACCTTCAAGCAGGACACCAGCATTCAGAGGCGGACTGCCTTTGATTCTGGAGTTAATATAGAGCCATCACAACATCAGTGCTACTGCTATAGGGTAAGGTTACCAGACGTCCCCGTTTCCCGGGGACAGTCCCCAGATTTACAAATCACTCCTCTGACAAAATCCATCTATTTAGTAGGAAGTTGAAAATCTGTCCCCAGATTCATTGAAAAAAATCTGGAACAACTATAGGGTGTCTTGGAAGCAATGCTCTAATGAGGCACAAGAAGAAGAAGAAGACTAGAATGATATAAGTGAACATCTTAATCCTTTTGTACTATGCTAAAGTGCTTAAGTAAAAGACCAACCTTTTTTAAAAAAAAAATATTTTGAGGAGGAAAATATTCAGAATGTGAAAACGTTCAATAGAACAAAACTGCCCCTCCATGGCAACAAGAATGAACCAAGATGTCTGCATTGTGGCGCTTGAGGTTGCGTAGGAAAAGAAAGGAGAGGAAACGTTACGCTATGAAGATCTTAACTAGCACTTCCCAAAGTGGAGAGAGATTGGCACATGCACAAATTAGCCTAGGGGCCAGGAAAGCAGTACAAAGTCAGATAGCATTTTGTGAAACATATGGCTAGCTTGCTAGATGGTTTTATTTCCCAGCTACAGCATTCAGCTTCATCCAGTGAGGAAAATGCCACATACAGCAGCATATATTGGAATATAGGAATTGGTTCCATACCATGAATTATATGTAAAATATACATTTTCAAACATAAGACAAAACATAGAATTATAGAGTTGGAAGTGACCCCAAGGGTCATCTAGTCCAACCCCTGCAATGCAGGTAACTCAGCTAAAGCATCCACAACAGATGGCCCTATCCCAAATTCTCTGACAATTTTGGTTAATAGGCCAACAAATACGGTATCGCATCTATTGTAAGGCAGGTGAAATCCCTGCTTTTTACACAACAAGAAGACAGCCAACATACAGAGTGGTCAACATTTGCATGTCTAATATTTATTTTACATTTAACACTGTGAAAACTCGGTGAATGTAACACTCTGAACCTTTCTGGGAACATAAACTGCTGCTTCTAAAACAAGTGGTATGCATATCAAGCTTTTAAGATGTATTTATTTATTTGCAAAGTTACATTTGGTATTGGGATCCCACTAAAATTGTCTCTTGGTAGAAAGCTTTGATTAGATGGTATTTACACTTTTTAGGGTTATGTTAAGTGCTATTTTTGAATTGGGAACAAATCTGGGTTTGTTTGCTATTTTGCCTTTTCCTGCAACTTGCCAGGAACATCTGCTTAATTAAAATACTAATACTGCACTCCCCATTCTCTGAACACTGATGTGGGTCCATTAGTTGCCGTGTAAATGGGGGCTGTAGGTGAAGGATCCTGCTACACATCAAGGAGCTGGGCTATGTAAACTTAACCTTCCACGTACAGGAAAAATGTCCAGAATTTACCTCCATTCTCTCTAGTTTTACATCATCAATCTCATCATCTTCCAACAAGCCCAACAGCTCTCCAGTCTGGTCAATAGAGATAAGAAAATCTTGAGCAATTTTCTGACGTTTATTGGTGCTGCTGCTACTGAGTCTGTCTGAAAGAAATTGAAGGGGGAAACAAACAATTTGATTTGACCCTGGTGTTATCATTGACGAAATACATAATATATATGAAAATATAACACCCAGGCACTGAAGAAATGTGAAGTTCTAAGACTCATTGTTTCTAATATGGTCTCCAATTTCTCAGAAATCACTCATCTTGCTTATGGCTGATTCAAATTTGGTGCAATGTTGTTCACTATGTCATGCTCAACATCATAATATGGCATACCATAATGGCTAATGACATGACAGTCTCTTCACCCCTTTCTGGCATAGATCCATGTCAAACTTACTTTGAGGTATGTCCTTCATGTAATCTACCACAATATCCCAACAAGCCTCAGTTTTAAGGAGGACACAGGAAACATAATACAGACATACCTTGGAAGTCGAACTGAATTCACTCCAGAAGTCCGTTCAACTTCCAAAACATTCGGAAACCAAGGCACGGCTTCCGATTGGCTGCAGGAAGCTCCTGCACTCAATTGGAAGCCGCGGAAGCAGTGTTGGATGTTCGGCTTCCAAAAGAATGTTCACAAACTGGAACAATCACTTCTGGGTTTGTGGTGTTTGGGAGCCAAAACGTCCGAGTACCAAGGCGTTCAGGATCCAAGGTACGACTGTAAAACCAATCACACGAATCATATAGATCTCAAATGTGAAATGGGTGTGGTAGAAGTCACTTTCACCTGACAGGATGGCAGTGCGTATGACTACTTGATTGACAAAAATTAATATTATTAGGCTGGAACCCAACACATGGGATTATGTCCAGGCATTCATAGTTCTTTGTGTGTAAGTTCCATTAAACTTGTCCAAGTGTCCTTAGCGCAGTGGAGGCTCCTCTCACAGTTCATGGGCTTCAAGGGAATGCCTGCCATTTCCAGCAGCAACCTCTCCCGTGGCTCTCCTTTCTCACATCTCGCTACTCCTCCACCATCATCGCTCTGCTGCTGTCCTTCCTCGCGCTTATCTGCATCAGTCCTGGTCTCCTTCCATCTGCACTGTCTTCCAACACCCCCATTTTTTATTTTTTAAGGAGGTTCCTGAGTTCCAGTCAGGCTGGGATTCACATTTATGAAATTTCATCTCTAATCTCAGATAAAGTGTTGCTGATTATGGTTACTTAGTGGTGAAAGAAGTGCATTCCATACATTCCCAGAAACACCTTAGCTATTTTCACATTTTCAAAACATAGTATTTAAGCAAGAAGATGAGTAATGCTGCTTCCGCCAAAACACAACTATTTATGGGACAGAAAGCCTCTATAGCTTTACCTCAGACAACCACAGACATTGTCTGGCCTTGGTCAAATCTCTTTCTGTCAGCCTCAGTTCTAAGTCTGTACTTGGGAATTATAAGTAACATGCATGCTGTCTTTAAAGATTTTCTGCCATGGCCTGATCATCTAGCCGCAAACAAGTCATTTCTCTCCTCCCTATTAAGGGGGGGGGGCAAAGGGATTGGGGTGGGGTGGAAGGGGGTGAGACAAATGTGATGAGCTGAGTTGTGCTTCAAGCATCACCACTTTTGGGAAGACACCAGCTGCCACTGCCCATAGAGAAGGGAGAGGAGAAAGTTTTTTCAGTCCACTGCCGGTGTACAATTTAAAACACCTCCAAGCTATATATCAGAATTAAGTGATTTTAGATTATGGTTGCTTCATAAAATATGTCAGATTCTTTGATAATAAATTAACAAAATGCCTATTCAAATTAATTTTGAAGCCAACCACCTTCCCCCTTCCACTTGGAGGCTGCCACACGTAAATTACACATGCTGAAATCAATTAAGCCTTTTAATCAGCACCAGTTCCTTAGCTCAACACAGCTCTTGACATTAAACAGATCTACTTATCATTTGGTTGCTGGACTGCCATACTGCACTTTTATAAATAATTTGAAAGGAAAAACACAAGGCTAAATGGAGTTCCCAAGTAAGTAAATATTTTTGGGTGTCTAAAGTTATCTGCATGAGGAATATATTTTCCATTTGGTATATACAGTTTGTATGCTGAATACTCCCCAAAGAAATACATTTATTTATTTATTTATTTATTTATTTAAAATATATTTTTATTAAATATTTCTTGGTTTACAAAAGTATGTGCAATGTCTCTTTTTCAAGTTGCGTTTTCTGCAGATCAGTTTCATTTGTTGAGACATTAGTGTTACATTAGGAAGAAAAGGGGGGAAGAGGTGGAGGAGGGAATGGTGAGAGGGGTGGGGTCGGGGGGCAATGCTTCTATTTGCTTGTCTTCCTTCGGTGGTGAGAGAGGTTGGGGTTGGCCCAGGGTGTGGTTGTTTGTGATTGGCTGTGGTGAACTTTCTTTTTGTGTGTGAGTGGGGTGTGTGTGTGTGTTTGGATCAGGTTAGCCAGATTGATTTGTATGCTGTTGGTGGATTCTTGTCACTGTCTTGTTGGGCTGTGTATGTGATGAAGGGTAACCATACCGGGGTGAAGATGTCTTCTTCTGTTTGTCCCCATGTCAGTTTTAGTTTGTTGGTTAGTTTTTCTAATAAGGCTGTTTGATACCATTGGTCCATGCTTACTCCTGACAGGTCTCTCCAGCATCTGGCTATGATGCTTCTGACTGCTGAGAGTAGGTGGGTTATGAGTTCCTTGTGTTGTGAGTGGCATTATTGTCTTGGAAGATGTTTAGTAGGGCCAGTTCTGGAGTGACTTCTAATATTTGCTTAGTTATTTTGCATATTTCTTGTATGATTGATGTCCAGAAGAGTTGGATTTTAGGACATTCCCACCACATGTGGAGGTACATGCCTGTGGAGGTGCATCCTCTCCAGCATTTTGGTGAGGTTCCTGGGTGTATTAGCATTAGTTCCTGTGGTGTTAGGTACCACCTGTAAGTGAGTTTCAGAGTGAGTTCTTTTCTTTTTGCTGATATGGATTTAAAGGGAGTTTTAGACCAGAAATACAATTTATTTACAAGTTTACCTACCTTCAAGAAGATCATCTTCTTCAATGCCTTTGACAACTTTAGATTTGTAGTCTCGGAAAAACATATATTTAAGTAGCCTTCTAAGCTTTTTCTAGGGAGAAAGAAGAGTGCTAATTACAATGGACACAAACACTGCCTGCCAGAGTAAGAAACATAGCTCCAACTGAGAGACACAGCCGCTACCTTAGAACACACACATAAAATTACAAACACACTCATTGATATAATCAAAGTTGGAGGGTGCACAGAAAGGCGTCATTAGGTTGCCAGTGCCAAAGTCTGTTGGCTTCAGTGTTCCTTGGTGTACTTTAAAAGTGGAAGATCTATTAATAAGCAGGATTTAGAGAATAGCGTGCTTTTGAAAAGAAAATTGCCTGTAATTTTTGGTTTAGAAAAAAAAATTACATGCACTTGCACAAGTCCTCTGTTTAACTTAAGTACATTCACCTAGTATTTTCACATGGCAAAGTCTGCCAATCAGTTCATTGACAAACTATATGCGACAATGATCATGTCATTAAAAAGCACACTGTGGTCATTCATTTAACAGTAGGAGTGGTAGGGGATTTTCATTGGGACTGTAGCACATGGGAGAAGGCTTAACCCTTCATTCTCCAGCCACATTCCATATTAAAATGGCAATGTGTGTGTGTGTGTGTGTGTGTGTGACATTCTCCCAAATTTGTTTTCATGTGCTGCTTGCCCCAGGTCCTACTCAAGGCACCAAGCAATTGTGTCTCATAACTTTGATTAAAATAGGCTCCAGAATTGCATAAATGAACACATCTGAGCACCTTTTATGCACTGGGGGGGGAGATATAATCTTCCAACTGGGATAGCTCAGATGGTAGAATATAAGGCTCTTAATCTCAGGGTCGTGGGTTCCAGCCCCACGTTGGGCAAAAGATTCCTGCATTACAGGGGGCTGGACTAGATGACCCTTGGGGTTCCTTCCAAAGCTAATGTTCTCTAATTCTCTGGTCTGTTTTGCATGCTTAAAGCAAGATCTGGACTATTTAGGAACTGTAAATGGGAAAGTATTGATGTCAAGAAGCTGAAGAATCGAGGATGCTTTAAACTCTTGGCAGATCAGAAAGGACTATCTGGGCTGTGCAGCTAGGTGCTTTCCCACAAAGAAATAATTTATCTGGATGGAATTACATTTCATTTGTACAATCTGAAACAAATGTACAATATGAAGCGAGATGCAGAATAATTAGTTATAATAAAATTCTGTCTATAAATACTTTATATTTATGGTAGCCATATCTTTTAACAGAATATTTTTTCCAACCATTATTTTAATAGTTGCATTTAATAACTGTACCTTATCTTTGCGCATCAAAAAAATAAGATCTTCTGCAGAGATTACTCTTGCTCCTCTCATTTGAGAAACTTCAGAGGCTTGTTGTAACTGTAAACAAACAGGCAGGACAAGAAGAGTGATAACAGCACTAGCATTTGTTTGAAGGTGCTTACTGAAATTCATTAGACATAAAATATAGCCATATACAGAAATTATGGCTTGGGGAGACCTCAAAATTCCAGCATGATTCCTCAGTAACAAAATAAAACACCAGCAAAATTACAAACTCCTTCTTTGTTATCTGTTTGGGATTTTCTGATTTGCCAGCTGCTATTGCAACATTTCATTTTGGGTCTTTACCTCAAGGAAAATTCATGGTATCCTACAAGCAATCATAGTGTGTGAAACATCCTGTAACATGGAAGGGAAGAATCTAGCTTTTGCATCAATAGGGCAAAAAAAAAAGAGAAATGTAATGTTTATAGAATACCCACAAATACACTACTACAACCCAATGCTAACTTTCCTCCCTCTCCCTCCCTCTCTCTCTCTCTCTCTCTCTCTCTCACACACACACACACACTCACATTTTAAAACAATTCAAAGGATACCCTCTTTGAGTGCTGATGCTAAGAACCCCTCCATTGTGGCACAAGGTCATTGTTGGCATCCATCTTTCTCAAGAGACAATGGAGTGCTTTTCTGGGGGTTATGTCAAACCACTGTTAGCAGCACCGGTGAATTTCCCGAGGCTCAAGCCCGGGCAGTGTGTCTGGAGATATTGGGCTGCCTGGACACCAAGGCTCCCCTCTTGGCCTCTCTGATGTGGTCCAAAGGAAAGGAAAGCAGGACGTTTGCCACCAGCTTGGCTGCAGGAGTTGACACATCTAAAACACTTCTATATACCAAGAGTAAGTTTGTAAGGTTCAATCCTGCTTCTTTTTGTCCAGGCAATGCTCATTCCCCAATGGCTTCTTTCCTGTAAGGACACACTCTCTCTCTCTCTCTCTCTCTCTCTCTCTCTCTCTCTCTCTCTGTGTGTGTGTGTGTGTGTGTGTGTGTGTGGATTTAGGAAGATGAAAGATGCAAAATGAACAATGGGTGCTGGTGGAGACTTAATTTTTGGAAAGCCTAAGCTATGTTAAAATTTACTTTCACATCTGTAAGATGAAACAATAAATAGAAATAATTTCTCTCTCTCTCTCTCTCTCTCTCTCTCTCTCTCTCTCTCACACACACACACACACACACACACACACACACATATCTTACCTTTCACAAAATGCACCTGAAAACAATTTTAAGAAATTCTAACCTTCATATGCCAATGGTTTTACTCTAGTAGTGGCTGAATAAGTATATTATTAATCTAAGATCTCATGCTGGTATGACTTGAAATAGGCCTATTCAGAAGTTAAAAAGATCAACAAAAACAGTAGCTGTTTCTAATATGGAAGTGGGGTGGGGGCAAGCTTTCAGTTTTGGCAAGTTTTCAGCAGGAAAAAGATTCAGTCAATAAATCATAATAACTGGACTGCATTATTTTTCCCCAAGTCTAATCACATGCACACAAAATGTGGACTGTATCTGGTATGCGCAACACAAAACATACTGCACACAAAAAATTCACATTATTTCCTTTGAAATGCTCAGGAGGCCTTTGCAGCTACAAAGACAAGAGAACTTTCAGGAATTCAGAAGTCACAGTAACATAATCTTCCTTGAAACTGAACTGGAAAGTATAAGAATGTGAAAAATGATAGTTCTCTTTCTTTGGCACAGAAAAGTGGCTTCTTATTCTGATTAGTTTAAGGATACACAAGGTACTTAAATTTCCAGCATAAAGTATAGAAAAGCTGGGTAAAATTATAATACAAAGAACAGGATGAATACCTCATTGGTGTAATTTGGATGAACCCAGAGGACTTACATCCAGCATGCATTTACTCAATAAGCGCTGAGAAAATTGATGTTAGTATGCTGATAATACAACACATCTTTTTCAAATTTCGCACAGATCTACAGAAGCCTTCAAACGAAAGAGATAATATAAAGCTCTGTTGGATAGAAGGTAACACAATTTTAATACACTGCGGCCACAACACAACACAATACATAGTAGGGTGTGCTTATGCCCACTATTTTAGTACACCTGTGTGTATCTGTGGCCACAGGGAGCCAAGCAACACGACTGTGATTTAGGCCACTTCATTCCATTAGACAAGGGCTGCAGGCAGACCTACATGTCTTCTATGTTTTATGTGTAAAATCCAGCTTCCTACAGATGCACACGCAGATGACGGAGAAGGGGCTTCTCAGTGTGTGTGATATCAGGATGGGGCCATTTGTTGGCCTACATGGGAATGCTTGATAAGGTACTCTATATATGGTACTCTTAATATTTTTAAAATAAATATTTTTAAAAATTGTATCACCAGTTTCTTGAAAACATGAATTAAAGGGGCCTAATTCTGGTGAAAGTGAAATTATTGGTGAAAACAGCACGTCACAGTAGTCAGAAAATGGAATGCCTGTGTTTTGGGGCCATGGGCCAATTTGGAAACAGCTGGTTAATACAGTGGTACCTCTGGATGCAAACGGGATCCGTTCCAGAGTCCCATTCGCATCCTGAAGCGAACGCAACCCACGTCTGCGGGTTGCGTTTCGCCGCTTCCATGCATGACGTCATTTTGACCGCCTGCGCATGCGACGAAACCCGGAAGTAGCAGGCAACCCGAAAATACTCATCCCAAAGCTACTTTAACTCAAAGTATGACTGTGCCACGGCCAACTAGATGCCTGTGGGAAACCAGGACGCAGGTTGTTGACCTCCTATCTCCCAGCACTTTAGAGCACGTGTGGGAAACCTGTGGGCCTCCAGATGTTCTTCAGCTCCCATCAGCCCCAACAGTCAGGGATGATAAGAGTTGTAACCCAACATCTGGTAGATCCGGACCCGCTCAGAGGTCCAGAGTGGCCCATACAACTTCCAATTTCTGAAGCCCCTTGTCATAATAAAATAATTGCCAACATATACCAGTATCTATATCAGTTAACAAATAAATTATGTATTTTAACAATCACACTTCTTAATTGTTTACTGTTGCAGCTCCAGCCTGAGAGACTGGACCAAAATTTGCAGAATGCTCATAAAAAGAAGAATTTGTGAAACTTATGAAATTCCAAAGCCACCCCCTTCCCTCAACTGGTCATGGGGTGGGACACAGCCTTGACTTAGAACAAGGAGAAATACAGTGGTACCTCGGGTTACGTACTTAATTCGTTCCGGAGGTCCATACTTAACCTGAAACTGTTCTTAACCTGAAGCACCACTTTAGCTAATGAGGCCTCCTGCTGCTGCCGCGCCGCTGGAGCACAATTTCTGTTCTCATCCTGAAGCAAAGTTCTTAACCTGAAGCACTATTTCTGGGTGAGTGGAGTCTGTAACCTGAAGCGTATGTAACCTGAAGTGTATGTAACCTGAGGTACCACTGTAGTAACATTTACATTGTGAAAGGATGGTGAGAAAAAACAAAGGAACTTGCTGAATGGTGTTTCCTCTTTACTGCAACCGCAAAAAATATGTAATGAAATCTATTATGCAATTACACTGGATCAAACAACAGGAAAGAAAAGGAATACTAAAGCCAAAGCAACCCCATAAGAATAAATTATTGTACTACTTTTTCGTTCAGGTTCTAACATATGAAATAAAATTGTCCAAGCAACTTAGGATCAAACTATCAAGAAGCTAGTTCAGATGTCTTTTTCAATAAGCAGGATACATACAACTTTCATTTTAAAAGTTCATCAAGCTAATTCCCAAGAGTGAAATATAAGACACATCACTACCTTGAGGCCCTTCATTATTTTAAGACAGAACCACAAAAAAACCCTGTGCCTCAGTGTTGTTACACACTAGCTTTTAAATTCATTTTTCCTGTTCAACTTCCACAGAGAAGTCTGTGTGTTTTTAGCCTATGAAACCTAGTCCCATCACATGTGGATATCTGCAAAGGAACCCCAGCATGGGAGCAACTTCTTTTGCCTATGCATGGACTCCATGTGATCCGTAGCACCATGCAACTGTGTGTCCTCTTGCATGTGCAGCTGCTTACATGTTGGAGTTCCTTGGCAGAGGCTTCCTTGCCAGAACTACGCCTGAGGAAAGAGTGCCAGAGGCAGCGCTAGCAGTTCAGCCCTACTCCAGTCTCACCACGTGAGCGCACTACATGTGAATTAAAGCAAGAACACAATTTAATGAGCTCCTGATGGGCCACCGTACATGTGGGTTTCCCTTGCAAGTTTTTCACATTTGCCTTTCACCAAAAATGATTGGCTTAACAGTATTGTAATGGTCAATCTCGGCAATCATGGAAGTTACAGTTGAACAACAACTAGAAGGCCTCAGGCTCCCCATCTCTGCCCTAAAATCTCCTCCTTAAGCTTGGAGAGGGGAATGCACTATTTTGTGCCTCTAACTTTCACAAGGAATCAGAAGTCTTTCAGGAAATGTTAGCATCTTTGATTGAAGTAATAACCTGCTCAGGTGTTATGTGTTCTAATTTGCTTAAGAACATTACCTGGTGTGTGAAAATCAGCACTTTGGAAAATTGGCAACCTTTGATGATATATTATAGCCTTATTTTGGACTGGCACGAGGCAGCATGACCACAATGAAATAACAGGGTAGGCTCTTGGTCAACAGGCTTCCCCAAAACATTCACTCTCTTCAGGGACTTCTAAAGGGCACACTTGTGAAGAACTATAAATGAGTGATCAATAAAATCATGCTGCCTATAATGGAGCAGGAGGACTGAAGGTAAGGCATTGTACCTTGATCAGGATTTTTAAATAAATGAATAAGAAGTCTTTGGCTTTGCTACTCCCAGAACAGAACATGATGTTAAGGCCTTAATGGAATTTACAGACCAAATATAATGATTCCTTCCTTTTGTCCACTTTTCCTCTCTCTCTTTCTCTCTGCTCCTTGGTTTTCTCTCTCCTTAGGGATTTCTTTTTGTTTTCTCTTCTCCTTTTTTATATTAAATAGCTGTTTTATTTCAGTATATTATAAAAATATACTTTATTGATTTATTTATTTAGTC